GAATAAATCCATGACACATGAAGAATTGAACGTTTAATCAAAGATAAGAAGTTTTAATGAGTGGTTCTATACAATGATTAAAAAGAATATCTGTGATTCAAATTCAGTCTAAATAAACCAGTTATGTTGGCAGCAAGTCTCTGATTCAAATATTGGGCAAGTGTGGATAAGGGATATCCACTGGTGGCAGCGAGTGAAAGAGAAAACATCGCCAGAGTGAACCTTGGTTTGGGGAAAACAAACAAGGAACTGGGTGGAACGTCACACACTTGTTAGGGGGAAAAAAATACAAACAATGCACTTGTTTTGTAGAACATGCAAAGAGGCAGACTGAATTGGGAGCTGTGGACTGTGGCAGTACTACTGATTTTCCACTTTGGTACTAAAATCTAATAGCTTTACCGCATTATTTCAACAGCTTAAGACCTTTAGCTAGAATTTGAGATTGCTGTGCCTTTTCTTCCCTCCCAGTTTTTTAAAACTGTCTAAACTGAAAATGTGCATATCTTGTTAGATAACCCCCTTTGGGATGATTTATTAATTGAAGGGATGATCTTTGAAATGTGGAAATATTTGACAACTTTTCTTTTTAACTTTGACCACTATAAATAGTGTTTAGAAATGTTATGATAATTCCTAATTCCTTATGATTGTGAAAAGTTCTTCCTTTCCCCAATTTAGTCAATTAGCATTTACAGTTATTAATACATGTACTGTATCATCATTCTACATCTTGAATGAGATAATACATTTATAACACTAGTATGCAAATACAATGGCTAAAATCCTATTAGTTATGCCAACCGGTGATAACCCAGTCAGTTTAAATCCTGGTGACAAAGTCTTAAGTGGCCTGAGCCCAGAAATACCTTAGAAATCAACTCATCCCACACCCATTTTACGCTTTTGTTTGGATTAGGTGATCGCACGGAAACCATGGATTGTTTTACTGCCAGCATCCATACTAGTCTCTTAACTTGATTTATTTGTTCTGTGCCACAGCCTACCTTCCTTTGATCCTGCCCTCTGTCAATCCCCGACTCTTCTTTTATGACTCATTGTAAAGTCAGTGGGCTGTTTAAAGTTTTGCATGATGATAGGGAAAGGGGACAGTTTCCCGAAGTTTTTCATAACATACAAACATTACATACATACGTACCATGGAAGAAAGCACTCTGCTGTAGTTTGTTGGTATTGTTTCTATTTCATATCAATTTATCTCCCCACCTCTTTTTGGTCTGTGCATAAACTAAAGCTAAACTAGTGTATCAATGTAGTGATAAGGTGATCTAGCGTTAAACTCAGGAGTTCATTTTAAATATTTTTAAAATATTCTGGGGCATCTGAAGGGAAAGACTGTAGAAGTGGGTGTTCCTGCTGCCCAAAACATCGTGTCCAACTTAGTACAGTACATCACCAGAATATCATCCCACATTATGCTGTGGGATTGATCAAGCCATTGATCATACAGGGAAAAGTCCATTCAAATTATTCCAACTTGAAATTTGTAGAAGGCCCCAGCAGCAGAGAAAAGAGCTCTGCAGCAGGATTAAAGGGGATTGATTGATTCCAATTGACCCTTGTGTGATGTGATCAGTTTTTAAAAAGTGACTTCATCTGTTTTATATTTGCAGCAAATCTCTCCGTATTTGACCATACCGTCTGCTCCTAGACATATCGCAAGCAAGTCATGAAAATGATTTTTTTAAAATTTACAATCTGCAGACACTGTTTTACTATAACTCCCACCACCTTTACCCTTGCTGGCTGGGACTGATGGGAATTGGAGTCCCTCAATATCCATATACCAGAGCCATGAGTTCATAGCCCTGATATATACTCAGAGTTGTAAAGATGAACATGAAAATCTATTCAAGCATTTTAATAAAAAGATTCGTGTCAAAGGAGAACATAAAAAGAGACATGCTTGATTAGATTAAAAGCTATCTAGCCCCACATTCTGGTCAACGCATGAGAAGCCCAGAGGTATGAATGAAATGGCCCTGTTTTGCACAGTTTTCAGCAATGGATAAACAGACAGGATATTTCCAGTATCAGAGGCAATATATATCCCATTCCTTTTTAAAGTTATCCAAGATGCTAGCCCTCATGACATCTGTAATTGTAAATTCCAGAGTTTAATGTGTCCTGAGACTCACGCCTTTTAGCTTTAGTGACTAGTCCTGGATTCTCACATTACTTGAGATGGAAGGAAAAACTTCATGCTTCAAATCACACATAGCAGGGACACAACCATTTGCCCCATACACCCATGTGTTACATCCCCTTTAGCCTCTACAGATTGAAGAATATATTGAAGGTGGCAGAATTGCAGAAGGGCATTGGCATTTCCTTCCTCCCTACCATATCCCCAACATCCTGGCCCTACTGCCCTTTATATGTACAGCGCTCCAGATTGCTTGAACAGTCTACATGGCAACTGCTCCACAAGTGTAGGGCCCCCATGTGATCTGATGTGCATTGAGGTCTGCATGGGGAACTTACAAGCTTTCCTCTCCAGGGTACTGCCATCCAGCATGTCAAGGATAATAGACCAGGTGAATACAGACATCACAGTGGGGTGGGACCAGCAAATGCTTCTTTGCAACTCTCCCATCATGTGAAAACTAGGCCATCTCAACAAGGCTATGGATGGTCGCACCCAGCAAGCCTGGACTGACATACTTGTGGCAATATAATAAATACAATGGTCATTTACTACCAAAAACGGGTAGAGTCAAGCAGCTGCTTATATTAAGGTCCTGCATAGTATTGCATGTTTTGCTGCTTGTGACTGGAATGGGAGGGTGGCACCCCATTCAGACCATAAGCCACAACATATGATTTGGGTATGAGAGATGAGAAACCAAGATACTAGTGGCACTGTGTCATTTCTGCAGAAATCAGACAATCCAGCCTTCGCTATTTATGAAGAAACCTCTTGTCCTCTTGCACGCGGATACCATGTTTTTTGCCAACTCCTGCATGGCAAACTGAGCCCCAGTGTTTGAAGAAGATTAATTCAAACAAATAATCCCTCAGTGTTGTGGAAATGTACCTTTCTTGCCCCAAGACTTGACTGAATAAAAGCACTGCTTTGACTCCTACCCTAAGCATTTCTGCTGGCACTTGTGACCCAGTTAGTCAGTTTATCCACAGCACTTTGTAAATGTGAGACTGGAACAACATTTCACTTAAGAAAGAGATGGGAGGGGGATCACACGGACAAAAACCAATCTGAACATGCAAACACTAAGCTGTCCACACAGTAAGCCCTTCTTCTTCTTCTTTCAGAGTACCTGTGCCATGAAGGAGAAAACAAAACAAAACAAACAACTGCAAGGAATTATTAGTCAGTCTGTCTGTGCACAATGAACCAAATCATGGTTCTAACATAAAGCACAACAATGATTCACCCAACTACACGACGCTGTTAGAGTAGGTACTTTAAAGTGTTAATTCTACATTGCCGATGAATCCTTAAATTTATGAACAGATGGAAACACAAATAAATAAGCTTTAGCATGCATTTGGATGTGTAAACTGTTTTAATTTGTATATTTAAAAAATCCATTATGGCCACTTCTATGTTACATTTATCATTCTCTTAAAAGCATACACAGTACAGTATTGATGAATTTTGCACGCAGTGCAATTTTGATTTTAAAAACACATTCCAGGGGAAAGAAAGACCCAACATAAGGCATTTGTGTTATATTTGTTTCAGAAACGGGTACACTGTACTTAATGCTGTAGTTCTCCAAATAAGCAAAACCATACACTTCAGACAAGAGTTTTGCAATAGGGCCAATTAAATTCTCACTTAGGATTAACTGATTACAGATTAACTGACCAAAACACTGTGAGCTAAATCCAATTTTAAGTAATAACTACAGCAGACATGATGAATGAATGGAACTTGTTAAATGAACATTTATATAAGCTCTATTGTTCTAATTAATATTAAGCATTAGATTTAGCCTTGTGATTAAACCAGCCTTGAATTTATCATGATAAAATAATAGTTGTAGTAGTAGGTAAACATAGAGTTCCTGGGCATGGACAACCCCATTCATTTCTATGGAAAAAGAACTTGACCCGTAAAGGAATGTCTCTACTGAAAGTAGGAGTGCAACTTCCGTGGACAGAACAACTTTCTGCATGTGAACCAGAGGCATGCAAATTTATGGGCACATGCCAGAAATAACAAAGTTATGTCAACTTATAAATGAGACTTATAAGTTTACTTCTGTATCACACTTATATCTTGGTTATTGAATTCTGAACACAAGGTGAGTTCTGTAGTTTTCCAGCTTCCACTTTACTTTCAGAATAACCCTGTGAGGTAGGTCATGCTGAGAGAATATGAGTGGCATAAAATCATCCAGGGAACATAATGGCCAAGCGGGGATTTGAACTTAAGTTCCCCCAAGTCCTAGGTCAACACTCTAAGCACTATACCATACTGGGTTAGAAATGCTTCAGTTTTCCTAAATGTATGCCCTATACAGTGGGGTCTTGACTTAAGAACGGCTTGAGTTAAGAACATTTTGACTTAAGAACCGCTCTCATAGGAAAATATTGACTTAAGTACTTAGATTTGAGTTAAGAACTGAAAAAAAACCACGTGGGAGGCAGTAGCTTTATTTATTTTGATGTCATAGAGAAGTGGGTTTAAATATTGGTGCTTCTAATTTTGAAAACTTCCAAAGAAACCAGGAAGAATACATTTGGTTTTGTTATTTAAATATCTTATTTTGAAACATGACAGCATGATTACCACAATGGCTTCTAAATAGTTAAGCCACCAGCAAAAAATTATTAGGGACTAGTCTCTCATTCTCAGACTGCCCTGGAATGCCCAAGTGACATCCCACAAACTAATAAAGGTATGTGGCATATTGCTTCACTTTTCTCAGGCAGCTCACGTGAGCCACAGTTTGTGTCAAATGGGAAGTAAAACTTCTCTGTGTCTCATCCTCTTCTTTTTCTGGTAAACACTGAGTGTTTCAGAATCGGATATATCACGTTTTAGTGTCAATGAGTGGGGAAAACAGGTTTGGGCTGTAGATTTTCATTTAGATGCAAAGGAAAAACCACTTTGTCATATCCTCCATGGCCATGCTTGTTATGGAAAATATAGTAGTTGAAAAAAACGTAAAATTTCTGTGCTCTGGGCTATGCATAATTTCTTCAGCACCAATGTTCCCCTGCACACTTAAACACAGATTACAACTCAGTGACTGAAATCCTGTTGCTTGTTGTCACTACTAGAGCAGGCCCATTGAATCAATGGAACCTATGGAGGAATTGACGTACCAAATCCTCACTGATTCAATTTCCCTACTCGAGTGGTGATTTACTGCACTAAGAAACTGGACTTCAGCCCATATGTAACCGTTTGCAATTTTTTAAAAAAGCAAGGAGAACAACCCAACTCTGTAAATTCTGAAACTACTGTATGTAAACATTTGTAGCAGGTTCTTCAACCATAAAACTATTTTAAAGGGGAATGCAGCAACACCTGAACACTAATAACCTCCCCATTCCTCTTCTCTTAATGCTACATTTGACAACTCTGTTTTGTTGGGCTGAAGAGGTCAGATTAATATTTCAAATCTGGGAGGCACTCCTGAGGTTAAAGATCTGTTTTTATGGCATTAAATGAAGTTGTAGGGATGTCCATCATGTCCCAGAGAAAGAATAGAGACATTTTTAGAAACAGGGCTGATAGTCCACCTAAAAACTTCCCTAAAACTAAGGGAAATCAGACAGCATTTTAGTTGTGAATGTGGTTCAATTTTTTTTACCATCAGCGACAACTCCATACTGTGATGAGGATTTTATGATTCAAATTATATTTTTAGAAAAATATCATAATGTTTAAAGCAGTCTTCATCATGGGGCCCTCTGCATGTGTTGGATTACAGTCCCCATCATCTCACAGCCACCACTGCCCATGTTGGCTGAAATGATGGGATTTATAGTCCACACATTCAGTAAGCCGCTAGTTTGGGAAGACTGTTTCAAGAGATGTATCAGATTCCTTCCCACCCTTTAATCTTAAGGATGTTTGCCTTATGAGACAAGGAAGTCATTTGCAATAAACACTTCTGAATTTTTAAGAAGTCAGAAAGATCTGTCAACAAAACAATTAACTCTTTCTTTCCTGTGCTGCTAGGTCTTTTTTACACACCACAAAAAATAGAATTACAGCATTAGGCCCATTTCTCCTTTATAGCCATCAATAATATTCACTCTAGCACAAATAAAAAAGAAATTAATATACAACAAATCTGAACTTGAAACTTGACATTTCTGTGGATACGATTATTCTTTTTTTAAAAAAAGAGAGAGAGAGGGACTAAGCATTCTCTTGCGTAAAAGTAGTTTTCTTATACAGAATAAGTAGCAAAAATGAAAATGTTAAAAATCAGTGTAAATCAGTTCATACTGCAAAGGAAAACAAAAGGTTTTATCTGCTGCATGATCTATTTACAGCCACAGGTAGAGGAAATAAGTTAGCACTGAACATATATCAGTGGAAGGATAAAGGCTAGAGTACTTCAGCATAACCCTTTGAGAATCTGATTGCTCATGAGCTTTGCATGGTAAGAGAAAAAGAGCTCATCATTTAGACAGAATCTATTTGACACACTGTGAATTTTTCAATATTTGTTTCTTTCAGCTGATGGTAAAATAGGACGTGTAGCTTTTGAACAACACTGCATAAAAAGACAACACAAACATGAAATTAAAAAACAAAGGTTACATATTGGGAACACAGTAAAACACTGGCCATTTCAAGCTTATGTTATCATTTGTTATAGCCCCAAATCCAAAATCACATTAGAAATCTTGTTATTTTAATACTATTACATTTTAAGATTGATGAGATGGCTCCTGTAGTCCATTTGGGTGTGTTGTTCAGTTCTGTTGTTGTATATACTTCGTGTTTTTAAGAAATAAGTGAAGCCGTTTCAAAACCACTTTTTCCTACAAAAGTTAAAGATGTACAGGTCTCAAAGCTGCAATACTGTTGTTTTTATGAGGACATCAAGAACATTGAAGAAGAACAGGAAGAAAGTGCTTCTTAAATATGACTTACTTTCCCTCCCCCATTGGTTTATTTCAGTGTGTAAGGAATCAAGCTTATAAGTGTACAGAGCCAATGCCTACAAACAGTTTTCAGTCCATCTCTGGGCAAACACAGATCCACTCGGAATGAGATTGTGCATTAAATATTTTTTTAATCATTTGTCTCACCTGATGTCTTTGAAGAGTCCATGGTCTCTTAACCAGGCAAGGTGCCAGTCACGTCCAAAACTTCACCCACAGCCCAGTCTCTCAAAAGACAACTGGTATTACAAACAAATGTGTGTCCTTTCCTTCACACAATCCTCTTCCGGTCCATTCTGCAGAGAATCTTTTTAAAAGACCTCCTGAAGTCATGGTTGAAGATAGTGTAGATGACAGGGTTGAGGGAACTGTTACAATAACCAAACCAGAAGAAGAACTTGAAGAGGGTGTCAGGCACAAAGCAGCTGTGACAGACCGCAGTCAATGTGTAGGTAAAGAAGAAAGGGAACCAGCAGATCACAAAAACTCCAATCACAACTGCAAGGACAAAAGTGAAGCGTTTCTCTCGATTCTGCCTGCCTCTCCATCGGGACGCTTTGCTGTTTGGGTCCTCCTCCACTTTATTTGGCAAATTGTCCCCAGGCTTAATCTGGCTTATCTTGGTTTTACCTTTGCCCTTCTTTGGCTTCTCCTGCTTCCTAGACTGGTGGTCCTCGTTGTGTTCTGAAGAAGAAGTGTCCTCCAAATCTATGCCATTGATTTCCTCCCTTTCCTCGTTTCCTCCTGTCCCTGCTACCTTCTCCCCATTCAGTTTGGTTATGGCAGGCATGCCCTCCTTGTCTGCTAGCCCATTCTGCTTCTTCTCTGTGGCCTCCCCTCTCTTGCTGGGAGGCACACGGGTTCTCCTCTTGGCAATCTGGTAGATGCGGACATAGACTAGGATCATGATAAGGCAGGGTGCAAAGAAGGAGCCGATGCAGGATGAGATGATGTACCATGTCTCCTTGTTGATACTGCAGCTGGGGGACTTCTTCTCTGATTTAAGGTTGCTTTGCTCACGGAGTGAACTCTCCGGTTCACCATGCTTCATTATGGATATAAGTGGCGGGAAAGAGATGACAGCTGAGATGACCCAGACAAGGAAGATGATGCTCTTGATGCGGCGTGGCGTGCGCTTGAGGTTGTATTCAATGGCCTGGGTGATGGACCAGTAGCGGTCTAGGCTGATGGCACAGAGGTGTACAATAGAAGAGGTGCAAAAGAGGACATCCAAGGCCAGGTATATCTCACACCACACTTTGCCGAAATACCACTGGCCCATCACTTCGTTGGCTAGGGAGAAGGGGATGACCAGCGTGGCTACCAGGATGTCAGCTGAGGCCAAGGAAACCAGGAAAAGGTTCTGCGGGGCCTTGAGCGCCCGGCTTGTGAAGATGGCGATGATGACCAGGACGTTGCCAAAGATGATGAAGAGCATGAGCAGTGTGGCCAAGGAGATGAGGGCCAAGGTGGTGTGTAAGGGGTAAGGCAGGCTCCCCTTCTGGCCCCCATCGCTCCCGTTGAGGCTTCCGTTGCCATCCATGTGCTGGTGGGGGTGGCTGTCTCCCTCCGGCTGCAAGGAGCCCAGGTGCGCCAGGGAAGAGAACCTCCCGGTCTCGATGAACGGGCTCTCCCAGTGGAACATCAACCCGAGCTCCGTCGTCGGCTGGACGAGGCGACCTCGAGGAACACCGGGCTGGGAGGACGAAGCGCCGCTCGCCACCACCGCCGAGTCTTGCGCGGAGGGCAGGGCGCCAATCCGAAGAACCAGCCGCGGCCGCCGAGCAGAGAGCTAACGCAGCCGGGAAGCGAAAGGGAGGGGATCGGCTCCGAGCCGGGCTGCTTCTCCCGTCGGTCCTGCGCCCTCCCCTGCCCGAGGCGGTCACCTCCCTCCCGACGGGCGCCGAGGAGCGGCTCCGGCTTGGCTCATCGCCCCCCGCCCGGAATGCCGCTCTCGAGCCCGGAGGCCAAAGTTCCGCTCTCCTCCGCCGGGAGTGGGGCGGGCCCCGCGGGGACCGGAGGGCAAGGCGGACCCTCCCGAGGGGATGCCCGGTG